AGTAAGATTATTCCTTTAGTCGCTTTTTGTGTAATCGGCAGGAGGAATGAATGATATTTATTTGCCTAAAATATTGTTTAAAAAGGTGGTACAAATATACATAATAAGTCAGTCCTCATAGTTTACCGATGTTGCCGTGCAAATTTATGGTCATCTACGTTTAGCAGTTAAACAATTCTAAAGCAATACCTATTGTGTAGCATGTCATTCGTAATTTCTTAATTGTTATTCAAGATATGTTGGTAAATTTTTTTGCTGACACACCTATGTTATGTCAAAGAAGTTAGCCTATGTATATTTCGTATATTTGATACACATGAAGGCTCCCTCCCACGTTACAAGTGTATTTTATAACCTTTCCAAGGCATTGGATTGTGTGATTCTTATTAAGTATTAGAGAATTATTAACGTAGAATAATTATGTCATGTCAATAAAAACTAAAAAAAATGAAATTTAAGTAGCCAAATTTGTTGATAGTTTTATCTTTTAGCCATGATTTATAGAACACCTATCGCAAGTGTATAAGAGACATATCACAATTCCGATGGTGCATCCAATTAAACGATATATAGAAAAAATAGAGCTATGCACTCACCTGCGCCAGTCTATCATCTTCGCTTACAGTGTAGACGCCGCTGCACTCAACATGGTCCTCCGGCTTGTCGACGGAGGGTGAACGGCGCCAGCACGCCGCACACACCGCCACCAGTACCCCGCATAGGGTCGCACTGTTTTAAAAATATCAAAATATATAATGTCGGCATAAGTCACAAACAAAGATTGGACCTTTATAATTAAATACTTGTGTCAAGGAGCTCCGTTCATCCTGAACTAAATGTATTATTTTTTTAAAAGGACCGATTATAAACACTAATTTACGCATGAATAAATTGAAATAAGTACGTTAATGTGTCAGTTGACGACCTCCATAGTCGAGTCCTTTCTAATTTACTTACAAATTAGAAAGGATTATTATTACTAAATGAACTGTTTTATTGTCTCAGGTCTGAGTGTTTGTCATGCTGTCGTTGTTTCCGATTTCCATAACAAAAGTACTTTACTCACTTTGGTATGAGAGCAACGTATGTAATGTTGTCTTATATTTATTTTTAATTGTACATATAAATTAATAACAGCAAAAAAATTGCGCCCGCAATTGAATTAACACACTTTTGCCTCAAACGTCAAAACATACTCCACCATAACCACCACACAGGTTATGGAAGTTGATGATCGCAATATACATACATATTTGGTATACTCCTGGGAACAACCATCAAGAAATTCGTGCTTATTGTACCATGCGGGAGTCACATCACTTATTAATGTGGAATTGGCTTGATCCGTAAGAAACTGCTTTATGTCGATGCAATAAGACCGAAAAAGACTTCGCACGTTTCGCTTCCGCTTGAACCGCGGATATGAATCGCTCGTCTTTTTTGCTTTTATTACATATACGTAAAGCTTATTCTTACCGTTTTAATGCTATTCTCTGTCGATAAGACTACATATGTCACTGCTTTCCAAGTGGTCCAAACCCATTCGTTCAACCCATAGATATAGGAAAAAGTTCAAACGCCGGGACCGATTTCGTTCGTCTGTGCTTTCGTTTTTATTTAGTGCAGATTATTGTACGCTTCCAAATCTAAATATTTATAATATTGTAAAGGAGGCAGGTTCTCTCTTCCGTGGGATGAGGTTACGCAGCTCCAGCGAAGTGAAAACTCCAAGTTGTTGTTAGAAGATTTATTTTCACCTTTGTGACGCCAATACAATTTCACCCTATATCCGGAAGGTCCGGGCAGTTGTTCCCAAGAAGGGACTTGACTTCTGGAAACCGTTCCGCGAGATGATGAATTTCACCTTATATGAGCGTAATCAGAAGGTCCGGGTAGCAGTTCCCAAGAAGGGACTCAACTCCTGGAGGCCTACCACAACCTCTTAAAACAATATTACTTTAACCTTACATTGACTTTTCGTACCACAACGCGCTTAAAGCAAGCTTATTTGTAATGTTAAAACTATGATGTTTTATTGGCAGCTTTGTGACTATTCACTCAGTTCGTACTATGACGCGACTTTGACGTTAAAGTTATTGCTCTTACGTCAAATTTAGCAATCTTAAAATAGTTACACGGATGCAATGGAAACAATATTATTTTCAGTTTTATTGTCTTAATATTGATTGTATTCAAATTCATTTATTCCAAAATTTACAAAATGCATTTATGAACAATAATAAAATGTATAACCTAAAGATCAGCACAAGGCTTCGTCAATAGGTAATGTAATACAAAAAAAGTGAGATTCACGTGAAATATACTTAATTTAAAAAGAAATCCCGCCCTGTATATTAGTATATTGATTTGTAATGATTAAAAGTTAAGTTGAACTTATTTAATTAAATTTTTATTGAATTGATATTCAATTATTTTTTGTGAAATTACTCCACTAGTTTGTTATAATTATTAATACAAAGATCGAACACTCAGAAAAAACACTCAGAAAAAATTCCTTCGATCCGGTCGGATTCGAACCGACGTCTTCTTGCATACCGTGCCAGACGTTTGTTGGTATAACGTCTGGTCACGTTCCAAGGTGACCAAGGGACTTCAAGTATCCTGATAGTACATACTACACGAATTCGAACCGAAGACCTCTCTATTGAGAAGTAACCGTTCTGTCACTAGGCTGCCACCGTTCCTTAATTTCTCAATCACAGTACTCAATTGCTGACTCGAGTTGGTTTATCATTCCAGTCGTAATCGGCGCCCGTGACCGCGATAACAGAGTCGCTTTAATTTATATTACCACCTTACCCCCTTCAGGTGGGGTATTATTCAGATATTGCTAATAGCATACGAAGCCATGTTTACGTTGCATCTACTAGTAGATCGACTACTGGACCGTGCAGATATAAGTACATTTTGGCACTCTTTAGCTTCAGTAACAGTAGAACTCCTTGTGAAAGAGTTCGTCCAGGGTAGTACTGCCACCTTACCTATTTCTGTCGCCAAGCATTAACGTGAGCGAAAGTCAAAATCAAAGAATCATTTATTACATAGGTAAAAGTTTTACACTTCAAAACGTCATTTCTTAAGCTACTGCTCGTTCACTATACTGACCTCTCTGAGAAGAACGAGCAAGAAACTCTAGGGATTGTTCTTTTCAAATAAACTTAAATGCTATAGAATACATTTTGAATCATATTTGAGTGAAATCTAGACTCACGTTGTCTTTCCATATATCTTTATCTAACGCGTAGTCTACAATTTTCTAATATGACTTTTCAATTAAAATACTTTTGATGTAAGTCTTTGACTTTTATATGTAAGTTTTAAACTTAGGAAATAGTATCTTAATATATGCTCCGTAATCTTATTGTAAAAACGTATACAGTTCCCCATAAAATAATTGTTTACCTTAGTTTATTTTATTACAGCATTACTGTGTTCTGGTTTTGAAGGGTAAGGGTGCTGATGAAATTACAGGCACATGGGACTTGTCAACTTATGTCTCAGGGTGATTGATGGGCATTGGCAGTGCCCCTCCGATCTTCGCGATATAAAGCTCTGAATAACACTGCAACTGTTATGGACAGGCGTGTAGCTTACCTTCAAACGCACGACTTGTTCATCCCGTCACTTAATATTATTAAAAAGAAGATATTTTTAAATAATTCGTTTTAGACTTTTACGTGGAGCGCACTATAAGTTTCCGGAATGAATAAGAAAAAAATACCATAAATGGTCAAAAATGAACTTATTGTTTCTTAAAATATTCTCCGTTAGCGTTAATGCACTTTTTCATAGGAATGAACCAATTTTGAAAACATTTATGCCACTCCTCCGTGACAATCTCTGAAACATATTTTTCATACTCTTCGACGGCCTCTTCAGGTGATGAAAATCGTTGACCGCGTCCTGGTTCTTAATTTTTAAAAGGAAATAAATAAAAGTCACTAGGTGCCAGGTCGGGACTGTACGCGGGGTGGCTCATAAGGTCAACGTTGTTCACCTTCAAAAATTCATTTGTCGGTCTGGCCGTGTGAGAACTGGCATTATCGTGGTGCAAGACGATACGGGGTGAAAGATGAGGCGTTTACGGTTATTTTTACGGAGTTTGTCAATAACTTCCGGCAAACAAATGGTCGTGTACCAATCACTATTCACGGTACAACGATTCTCCAAAGCAACAGTAGTCACGTGTCCAATTTTATTAAAAAAAGAAGCAATCTTCCGCTTACAAGCATTTTGAACGCGCGCCACTTTGGTTGGTTAAAGACCCATACGCTCGATTGCAACTTTGCATTGGGATCATAACTATAAATCCATTTTTCGTCACCTGTTACTATGTCCCACATCAAATTTGACGTCACAAGTGACGCGATCCGTTTTTTAAGCCTCAGCCAAATTGTATGGGATCCACCGAGAGCACAGCTTTTTCACACCCAAATGTTTGTGTAGTATTTAACTCATGCCTATACCTAAAGATGCCCGAATTTCATGGTATATAACATGCCTGTCTGTTTTGATCATACGGCGCACAGCATCGATGTTTTTGTTGTTCACAGCAGTGGACGGGCGACCATCACGAAATTCGTCACTGAGATTCACACGACCGCGTTTGAGTTCTGCAAACCAGCTATAAATAGTCGTGTTGCATAGTGCTTCATCGCCAAAAGCAGTTTGAAGCCGAGCGAAGCACCGCTGAGCTGTTAAATTACACTTAAAGTCGTAGAAAATCATATTACGTAAATTTTCACGAGTTAAGTCCATGGTGATGTAGACAACCAATTTCTAAAATGACGCCACAATGTAAAAACAAGTGACAGGCAGATGAAACAAACTGTATTCTACAGCCAAAGAGTTCCATTTTCAAATGTTGTAATTACTTTTTAAATGTTGTTTATGTAAGTGGCCAGTTTCGGAAACTTATAGTGCGCCTTATGTATTTTAGCCTGTTTTTAGGAGTTTATATGATCCAGTAAAAACATCCTATCGTGTAACAAATTAGCACATTCTTTGGACAATATCCTTAGGTGTATCGTATATTTTTTGTAAGACCGTTATTTAATGGTAAATACCTAAACCGGATTAAATCCGGAAAAATAGTTTCATTTTCTAAAAGCAATATTTGTTCAATAAATATCAATTTCGTGCATAAGCAAATTGACACCAATATCTATCTACAAACGATACACATATTGTGTTTTATTAAATTGCTTTTCAAATAATAGTAGCCCAAACCCGCACCAAAAATGATCTTATATATTTAAAGCCAAACCAAAGTAGCACATTCTCTAAAACATGCCAGAAAATGTTCGTTTTTCTTTTAAATAAAGAACGCGCAAAGAACCTGGATTTTGCCACCCTACAAAATTTAAACCTAATTTTTTTTCATAACCAAATTATCTCTCTAAATCGCTTTTTTACCATTTAGTTTTTTTTTTACTAAAAATTAAGTGCGCATTTGATCTCCATCTCACCTTATGAAAAGCGGTCGACGATGGAACGTGCATACCCAAATAATGCCTGTTCACTCACCATATTTGGCTGTTGCATATATCACCGGTGTAATAAAAAATTATCATTCCATCTCTGGGGCAACGTGATAACGCCTGTCACTAGATAGATATCAACCCATTACAAATTTTATCACTATGATAAGAAACAACAAATTGTGTTATAGGACAACGTTTGGAAACTTATATAATTAAAAAAGGTTA